AAAAAAAAAAAAAAAATTAGGCAGCACTGTCCAACAGAAATATGATACAAGCCACATATGTACATTTAAATAATCTAGCAGCCACATCAAAAAGGTAAGAAGAGGTGCACCTGGACGGTTCGGTCAGTTAAGCGGCTGACTCTTGATCTCAGCTCAGGTCTTGATCTCAAGGTTTTGAGTTCAAGTCCTGCATTGGGCTGCACACTGGGCATGAAGCCTACTTAAAGAAAAGCAAAAAAAACCCCCAAAAACAAAAAACATCAAAAAAAAAAAACCCGGTAAAATTTTTTTAAGCGATTAATTTTGAGAGAGAGAGAGAAAGCATGTGCACACGTACAAGTTGGGGGTTGGGTAGAGAGAGAGAAGGGAGACACAGAAGCCGAAGCAGGCTCCAGGCTCTGAGCTGCCAGCACAGAGCCCAACGTGGGGCTCGAACTCCCGAACCACGAGATCATGACCTGAGCCGAAGTCAGATGCTTAACTGACTGAGCCACCCAGGCGCCCCTAAAATTAATTTTAATAATACTCTTTCAGACTAGGCACATTTCAAATGTTCAAGAGACACATGTGGATGGTGGCTACTGTATAGACAGCAGAGCCTCTGAAGGCTGTTGGGAGGATTAAGCAAAAGCCCTTGGCAGTATCTGCCAGGCAGAAAACCCCCTGAAACTGTGAGCCCCATTCTTCTGCCACCCTCTGTGCCCATGATGGTGCATTTATCTCTGGACTGATCATGAGCATTTCACGTCACTTCCTAAAATCCGGCATTCCTCACCTCCTTTTTATTTCTCTTCCAGAAAGCCCAGTGAGAACACTCACCACCATCCTGGGGAAGCCGCCGTCATCTCTGGTTTGAGCTACTGTACTAGCTCCACCAAATAGTACACCATCATCTGCTCATGCTCCCTCCAACCTCTCTCTCTCCAAGGAGCGGCTGGAATGCTTTTTTTAAAGGACACAAATCTATAGCATTTCCCTTCTTAGAGCTCTAAGGCAGTGGTTCTCGATTTTTGTTGTTGTTGTTTTTCATCCCTGGACCACTTAAAAACGGTCAGGAACTCTAAAGAACCTTTGCTTATGTGGGTTATAAACTAGATATTAATGATACTAGAACTTAAAACTGAGAAAAATTTAACACAAGAACACATAAGCACGCATTCCATTAGCTGTGAGAACGATGAGGTCAATACTCAGCTGCTGGAAAACTCCACAGTACATTGTTTTTAGAGAATGAGAATGAAAAAGGCAAGTAACATCTTAGTATTGTTATGAATAGCCTTAATTTCATAAACCCACTGAAACAGTCTCCAGGACCACTGGGACAGGCGTCACATTGGGGAACCAGTGCTCTAGAAGCTAAATCCGTTCTTGTCCTGGCCTGTGCATCTCCCACGTTGGAGCCACTGCTTGCCTCTTCAACCCCACCTCTGCCCTCCAGCCCTCCCCTCAGTGTTCACCACACCGATGGCTATTCCTTTTCTCCAACGGCTCCCACCTTCCCTGGTCTGTTCCCTTTGTCTGTTCTGCCCTCGCCTTCTCTGGGCTCCAGGACAGCCTCGTTATTCCCTCAGACCGCTGCGTGTTCCTCCTGTGCGGTTCATCAGTTGTATTTAAGTGATTGTACGAGTCGTTGTTAAATGCCTGTCTCCCTTTCCGGACCGTCGGCTCCTCAAAGGCAAGGACGTGCCTGTCTGTCCACTGCTGTGTCCCCGCTGCGGCACAGAGCCGGGCGCCCACTGGAGGGCGCTCATCAGAAGAAATTAGTCTTTTTTACATCCTAAGTATTGAACAGCAAGCGTTGGGTCAGGTAACTACTGGACGAAGGAAGCGGCGGCTTGGCCTAGGGACGTCCGAGGGGCAGGACAGTCGGCCAGGCCGCTGGAATAAAGTTATGCTCTGGTGCTCCCAACACCGTGTCTCCTTCCACCCCACGGGTCCCCTCTACAAGCACAGACTCTTACAGTCACTTCTGGTTCCTGCCAATCTCCCCGACCTCTCAAACGTTTTGGCGACACCCGATCCTCCGGAACAGTTCGGGGTCGGGCGCCACCCAAGGCGGGGAGGACGCCCTCTAGCAAAGTGCACTGGGGGTGGGCAGAAGGGAGCGCAGATACCGGCGCCGAGCGCCGGAAACCCGGGAGTGTCGAATCTGGAACCGGATGTGTCGACTTCCTGCTCCGCCCCCTTGCGAGAGGGCCGGAACCCAGCGCTCTTCGGAAAACGCGGAGTGGATTCCGGTCCGCTACACGCGTGGGTGTGGGTGGGGAGTGTAACCCCGCGGGGTGGAGTAACCGATCCCTCTCCACCTAAAGCGCTTCCCACGGTTGTTTTAGCCTCGGCGTTGTGTAGTGGGGAGGGGAATGTCAAATTCGACCCCTGTCCTCCCTCGGGAGTTGGAGGCCGGCATCCATTCCAATTAAGTGTGGGGCGAAGAGGGCTCCAGGATCCCCGAGTAGGGGGTCCCGAGCACAGCGGAGCTGGGGACCCGGGCTCCTGGGTTCTGGCCGCTGGGCATCCAGGGCTCCCCTAGTCCGCAGCCCTGGCTCCTGTCCTCACTTCCTTCCCTTTTTGGCTCCTGCTGTCGGAGCGGGCGGACGTGGGGGGGAGCGGAAAGGGCGGGAGGGCCCGGGAGCCTGGCGGGGGGG